GAACGCCACCTGGGCAGCAGAGTATAGACAGCAGTCTCTTTTCCTTACCCCTCACAGCACAGTGTGGTCACCAGGGCAGAAATATCACACGGGGCCTTTTCAATGGTCATCCTGTGGGCTTGGCTTTGGGCAGTTGGCAATTTGTCTGGGTCAAGTCCAAGTTCTTCACTTAGCCATGTGTTTTCACTCCAAGTGCCCTTTGGAAATGCATGTCTCTCCAGATTACTATCACAATGTGTGCTGGAGTCTCACCTCAGGCACTCCATCTCACCACTTTCACAAAGTGGGTGCCCTATGGGGGTACTCAGTTTATGAAGAGGGCAAGATGCCTCTATTGTTAGACCTCCAGCAGGACAAAACAAACAGCCCATACCCGAGGAGGATGAAGAAAAAGGATACACAGGCATGTACACACAGCAGGATGAAACAAAGACACAGACATATACACACAGACACACCAGCAGGATGAAACACACACACACACACACACACACACACACACACACACACACACACAAATTTCAATTATTTGAAACTTTAGCTGTACTGTCAGTTTTGGAAAAAAGTATCCCAGTTAACTGTGTTGAGTCGCATTGTACAGAAATTAACAGCCACATTGGTCTAAAACATCAAACTTAACTTTTTTCCATATGTAAGGGGTAATACACTATTAAATACGTAAAGCCTTACCTGCATGGGTTTGGTAACAGAAACTAGAAAGTGTTCACTAAACACCACCACCACCACCATACAGACTATACAGCTGCGAATACGAAGCAGATGAACTCCTAACACGTGTCCTGGGATGCTCAGACAGGCAGTGGCTCTGTGGTCCACACCAGCATGGTTGCCCTTACATTGCTTCCTTTCCTTTCCATCTTGTTCCTAGATATGTGGAAGGAAGCTGGGGAGAACATGACAAAACTCTGCACACTGTGATCTGAAGCATACAAAGATGGTGAGTACACATGTCCCTGCACTCCAAGATCAGTCTAGAGAAGCCAGGAATGTTAAACATGTAGGACTGTGTTTTCAAGGAAAAATACGTATAACATGCTTTTCCTTCCAGAAGGCTGGGAATGGAGGTGACTGTTCAAATGCCTGGTGATCCATCTACATTATCTGTAGACCAGGCCATACCTGTCTCCACAAGCTAACTGTGACCAGAGGCTCCCTCAGGTCCCCACAATGAGGACCAGAAATACTTAATGTTCTAGGTGACTTTTGCATTAACTGTATAGCTGGGGTGGAGGTGAGTGGTCCTTAAGCTCCCACAACTGGGACCAGAGTTGGCTAACAAGCAAAATGACATCTACACTATCTGCATGACTGAGACTACTCCAGATCCTTCTCTAGGCCATAATATATGTAGCCTATCTCTAGAACCCATCTTCTTGGAAGAAGTGGTATGGACTTTGAGTTTCAATGTAATTGTGTCTCCCTGTGCTCAGTGGATTGTATTATACCAGGAAAACCCCCAAATTATCCTGTGCTTAAGTATGCTGAACTGCATTTCCTTCTTGCCTCTAGCAGATCTAGCAGACTCTGCTGGCCCTGGTGGTTGCCGAGTCCCACAGAAGTTCAATCGATAACTGGAGGACCAAAGGTGAAAATTACGTGTGGGTGACATTATAACGGGAAAAGGAGGCATGTATTTCCCTGGGATGGACGACTGTTCCAGTACACACTGTGGCTCCTGGGAGGCATGGCCCATGTGAAAGCGAGATGCTTTGAACCCTCTGAGGCACTCTACAGGTGGTAGTTAAAAGGATGGCAGATCAGGAGGCAAATAAAGGACATTGTTTGGCTTAGTCCTGGCTTATAGGCAACTTAGTCCGAAGCTGGTTTTGGCACTTCCAGGGCATTTTCTTAAAGATTTGGAAGTGAGTATGGGTGAGTTCAAGGAGGGTCAAGGACTCGACATACAGCATTGACAAAAGAGTCTCAGCCGCCACTGGAATGTCTTTCAACAGACAGAACTGTTAGAGGACAGCCTACGTTCCCTGGGACAAGAAGACTAGAAAGTGAAAGGTTTCGGTGTGAAGCCAGCAGCACTTTCCAGTCCTTCAAAAGTAAGAATGACAAGAGCAATTCCAGTTGTAAGTGGAGGGAGAACATTCTCCACGAATTCTGTTGCTTCTCCCAGTACACAGGGTGGAGCATTGTGTTCCTGGAACAAAACAAACCAAAGACCAGTAAATGCTGCACATATTTATGGGTGAATTCAAGGCAGGGAACAGTCCAGAACAGGGAAAGCAGCTCAAGGGCCAATCCTGAAGTGTCCAATGTCTTCTAGAAAGGAAAAAGGACATCGTGAGCCCTTTTCTGACATTTGTGTGGGGCTAGAGTCAACCTGGTGCTGGCTTAGACCCTCACGGTCTCTCAAGACAGCCGCCACCATCGCACCTCACCCAGGCACCTCAGGTTCTGTGCTGGTTTTGACCCAGCCATGGGTTTTTGATCAAGGCCAAGTGAACATGCAAATCAGACAGGGGGTGCTTTAGGCCCCCCCTTTCCATCATGGCTGACCAGACAAGAGCTCTTACCTTCTCTAAACTGAGCAGTGTTAAGTGTGAACTTTGTTCTTTTGATATAGCAGGTAGGGTAAGGGTTAGGAAAGGAAAAACTATCACAAATACTTTAGCACTATCTGCATTTTCAAACACATAACAAACATATCGATCAACATCCGCACCAGGCAGATTAGTGACAATGATGAAAGCAGTTTGCCTAGAGTCATTTGTACAACATGGGGATTATGGAGATGAACTGGAACAAATTGGATTCAACGACAGGAAATACAAGGAGCCTCTCCCCACTGTCAGGTCATCTTTTCTTCCATTTGCCACTTAGGAGGGCATCTGTGTTGTGCTCTAGATTTTTTGAGCTGCCCAGGTCTGTGTTGAAATAGTGATGACTCTTACAACGTAAGTCCTTAGTGAGTTACAGATCTGACCACTGGGGAGGCAGCTACAGACAATACAGCCCCCTACCTGTACGGAGACTCTTCTGCTTTACGTCAGGGATGAATTCAAAAGACCCTTTGATGAGTGTCCAAGGAGAGTCAACAGGATCCAAAAGCCCTTGGTCAGGGCCAGCAGTGACCTCACAGGTGCTACTCTGTAAGATTTCAAGCACACCACAGAAGTTTCCTGCCTTGCTGTCTCCTAACCCCAGGGAATGCAGGGCTAGACAAACCCTGGATAGAATTATAATTCTGATTACATGTTATTTCTGTATTTTAATTTGCCATGGGACAGTTGCCCAACTTAAGTGTCAAGTGGTCACTGATGACACCACCTTAAAAGCAGAAACTGACACAAGGTACAACAGACACTAGGAATTAACACAGCATCTAGGCCACACTTAATTAGTAGTGAGGATCACTTTCTATTACATGTCAGAGAAAACTGTTGAACAGTTTCTTGTGGCAGAATGGAGCTCACGTCCCTCCCAAAGCTAAACCCACCAGTAGATGGTGCTGTAACAAAAGCTTTGAAAAAAAAACCTAAACAAACAAACAAAAAAAAAAACCCCACCACCACCACCAAACCAAGCAAGCCACTGGTGCGGTCCCCCCAGAGAGTGGCCTGGAGCCCCTCGCCAGAGCCAGGCTAAGTCCTGGAGGTCCATATCTGGCAGCATGAGGTTGATCCAACGGGAGCCAGTGTCCAGGCCCCAGCAAGGCCATCATTCTCACTAGAGCTTGAATGTGGTTCACGGTTCCTCTTGGTCTGATTTCCTCACAGGAAGCAGAGAATACACCCTGCAGGGGAACCCTTTCTGCTTAACACTCATTGTGCAGGTGCCATGGCTTCAGGGGTCTTCAAGCATTAATTATTTCAATGCTCGAAACCCACTTCAGTTTTATAAGCCGCTTTGCCTACACTATTAGAAGGTATGTGGGTACACAGAAGTGAGTACATTTCCCTTGGGAAATAATTGGGGAGGCTCCTACATGAGGGTGTGGAGACTCACCAGTAGGTCTGTAACTCTCTAGTTCCTTCATACCGATGCAGCAGAAGACACTCATGCATGGTGTACCCCAAGTTCCCAAAGCTCCTCATGTCTCCACAGGTCCTCATACGCAGCGTGTGCAGTGTCCCAGTGACAGAAGGGACAGAGCTGTAAGCCCTGAAGGACCTGGGATGCACAAACACATCATCTCTATCTTGTTGCTTTCTCCCACATTTTTTGGGTGGCTGCCTCTGGTGCCATCAAGGAGTCCAAGAGTACTCACTGACTGTTGGCCACCCACATAGGCTCTGTTCCCTCTGTAAGAGCCACACTGTGGGTCAGCCTCTTCCACAAGCTAGCTCAGCTTGACAGGAAAGAAGGCACTGGGAAAACTACACACTTGTGTGGCTTCTCCGACCCATGACCCACATGATGTGCACGGGAAGGGCGGGCTAGAGAGGGGACAGGATCAGGGTCAATGAGATGACTCCACTTCCAGTCCAAGGCAGAGGGCCTCTGCCACATTTCAGAAATCCAGCTCCTTCGGTACTGGGTCAAGAACTGTGCTGGAGTGAGCTAACCCCTTCTTCTATGGTCTCAGTCAGCAGTCTGGGCTAGCCCAATACTACTCAGGGCAGCCGTGAAGGGAGACAGATGAAAATGGAAGCCACCTGTCTTCCACACACAGCTCTTGATTTGCAGTTACAAGAAAAAGTCCATTAACCTGTTCACATCGCCCGGAAGAACTGAAAGCCAACTTGGTTCTGCAGGAGCAGACACTTCCCATGTGTCTCCCCTATTCAGTCTCCATCAGTGTCTACAATGCATAACAATAAAAGGGAAAGGGTAACACCAGCTGTGTATACGGCTTACCAGAAGGCCAATTTCACTCCTCGTTCTCTGCAGCTGAACTTGTTGAACATGAAGGAAACACACAACCATAATGTTGGTTAATCTCAACCTTGCATCTATCCCTTCCAGTCACAAGCTGGTATGACTGTAAGACAGTCCTGGGTACTGAGACAAAGCAGATGGATCCAGTGTTTGTAAATTTCGTATTTATTTATAACAAAAATTTTGACATGTTCATTTGTGCATTCTGCTTCAATATAACTCCGATGTGTAGATGGTCTAAGGTACTCTATACAGTCATGCTGATTGTGGCAGCAGTAAGGAACACAATTAAAAAGTGTCTGCAAAAGGTTCTGGGGTCCCAGGAGCAGGCTCTTGTCCAGGGACCTCAGAACCACACTATCTTCACAGAAACACGCTGACCAAATGGCCCACGCTGAAGACGAGTAAGGTGGGGAGGGCTAGGGAGGGCTCTTCAGAGGGGTAGGAAGTCAGTGACTTCGGCTGTGTCCTTACGCCAAGACTACAAACACTTTAAGCCTCACTATGCAACACTGAGCTATTTACAATAGAAATTTCTCAATCAACTGTTCTCTCAGAGAAAATTAGTGAATCCCAGTGACTTAAGTCACCTGACAGAGTAAAGCAACTCCTAGGAGTTAGTCTCCATATTCTACAAATGTCTATCATTTTCAAGACAAAAAAAAAAAAGCCTTTCCCCACAAAGAAATACACAATTACAATATTATTAAGTCATTTAGCAATGGCAACTTGCCCTGCCTTCCAAATAAACAAAACAACAAAAAGCAATTTTTAAAAATTACATTATCATTAATTGTTTCTCTGTAATATATTAAACCTTTTGTTCTTTGTCTTTACACATCTGATATGTTAGGGAAAAGAGTTAACAAATTTAAATCATATTGGTAAAGTGTCACTAGAAGAAAAGTGGCAATTATTAAAAGTAACCAATACAAAGAGGACCTACAGATGAGCTGCAGAGACAGGAGGGGCAGTGTCTGGGAGAAGGGCACGGAGTAACACCCCTGGTTTAACGTGAGCCTGGGAGACTCTCTCAGTCTTTCTGGTTAGTTTATTGTTTAAAACAGTACTCAGACTAGGTCATAGAGGTGTATCGTAACAGTCTGGCAGGTGGTTCACTTGGAGCTGCCGCTGCGGCTGTGGCTGCGGCTGTGCCTGTGGCTGTGGCTGGGACGGTGGGGGTGGCGCCTGCTGCTGCTGCTGCTCCTGGTGATGTTTCATGATTTCTTTGACTTCTTCTTCCAGCTCTGGGGGTATAATAAACTGATCATCTGGATCTGGCTGCGCCGGGGCCGCAAAATAGCCTCCTGGCTTTCGGAGAGGTGCATCTGTGGCAACCTCTATCACGTTGTGGCTCCTTTCCTGGGGTGCTACAGAGCCATTAGCCCTGCGTCGCCCAATGGTCCCCACAGCAGAAAAGTCTGCCTTCCTGGACAGACCTGCCTCATCCTCGTTGGCACTGATGACAATGCCCTCATCGCTGGCCTCGGCTGGCACCTGAAGCAGGTACTGTTGCCTCTCCTTCTCCTTGGCCCGGCTGCAATGGATGTCCACTTCCACCTCTACCCGGCTGCCATTGCTGAACACGCCCTCAATGGGCTCTTCGTCATCACTGTCAAGGCCGTTGTCAGAGAAGGCGCTGGAGAAAGTGGCGCTGGACAGCTGACGTTGGAAGGAGTTAGACAGGCAGACTGGGTGGAGCATACAGCGCTGCTCACTGGGGTATGCAGGGCTGTTCTCATTCAGGACTCCAGACGGGGGCTCGTCAGAGGCTGTGGAGCCCACCTCACTGCTCATCTCAGAGGTGGAAAGTTCACTGCTGATCTCAGACGCCATGCCGCTGCTGGAGGAAGGCACGCCCAGGCCATCTGAGGGCCTGTCCTTTATCACCATGTTGACGGAGGGCGGGAAGATGCCTGGACTAGGTGGTGGCATGCTTCCCCCGGCACTGAGCTCACAGCAGCAGAAGCTGTCTTCGGTGACACTAAGCTGCACGACCACAGCACTGATGCTGTCATGGCAGCCATAGCTCTGGGCCAGGGTGCAGAGCTTCTTGGCAGCAGCCAGAGAGTCAGGTACATTGCGCACGGCCTCCACAGCCTCCTCAATGGACAGGCTGTCCCACAGCCCCTTGCTGCCCAGAATGAAAAACTCATCCTGTGGCGTCAGAAGCACGGACTGCACGTGGGGGCGAGGCACCACGCTGGGGTGGAGGAAAGTATAGCCCAGGATGCGTGTGGACTCTGTCACTCCATTCACCTTGCCATCCTAGAAGAGTTTCCAAAGAGACAGTGAGCACAGAGCGCATGGCCACTTGAGCAGCTGCCCCCTGGTCACTGACTGGACCACAGGGCAATGCTGCAGGAAGTGTTGGCATCCCAGGGAAGGAAGGGGCTCTATGTGGAGTGGTAAAATGTAGATCCGGGCTTGTAGGAGCGAGCAGAGAGAAAGGAAACATTCCTTTAACATGGACCACCTTTATACTACATGGCAAGACCTATCTCTTCATGACAAGCTGATGTCCAGTCTCAAAGACATGCATGCTCACTAGCTTCTAAAGAGGCAAGCCATCCAGAGAAACACCTGGGGACAGGATGGTTCAACCTCATGCCTCTGTCTACTGGCACAGCCAGCACGTGGGAAGGCGAGAGTCTTGTGTGGCCCCCAGATATTTGTATCTGGGTCACAAATCTCATACGTTTGGAAAGCTGATGCTAACAGAAGTATCTACTCGTCTTGTTTTGTTTTGAGACAAGGTTGCTCTGTGTAACCCTGACTGTCCTGGAACTCTTCCTGTAGACCAGTCTGGTTTCAAACTCAGAGATATGCCTGCCTTTGCCTCCCAAGGACTAGGATTAAAGGTGTGCTATACCACTGGCCAGAACAAGTAACCATTCTTATGATTTCCTTAAACCCAACTTCCAGGGACAAAAGCAGAAAGCAAAGAGCCCTCCCTCTCTGAGTTCAGATGGCTCATGCTGTTTAGACCAGCAGCCAAAACCAAGCCATTTGCCTGGGTAAAAGATGAGTACTTTTGAATCCTAGCTACACACAGCAGCTGGGTTCTCTACCTTCCAGGTTTGAGGGTCTTAGGCTTATAGCTACATCCACCCCACGCTCCTAGTTCTAACACTTCTTCCCACAGAAAGTTCCACAACGACAAATGCAACTTCTATGAGTCTCTGGATGAGTAAGCTTTTGTCAGAGAATCCCCTTGTCCTTCAGCCCCTTAGTCTGCCTGCACCTGGGCTTTACAAGTGTTTGCTTATTCCTGGGTACCTTTCCCCACGGATATGACCTCACCAGCCATGCTTAAAAGAAAGTGGCAGTCTAGGAACTAAGAGGAAAGAAACAGGCTTTCAAGCAGTTTGAGACTCCCTTGACTCTAGGACTAAAATCTGTTCCTGCCTGGTGTGGGATCTGGCAGGAAGGCCCTTGCTGCTTCAGCCACTCTTAAGGTTTCTCATCCGCCTGTGCTAGGAGGGCCTCTTGAGGGTACGGAAGCAGTGAAGTCCAAGTCCTCACTGCTGAGGATCCCACGGAGCAGACAAAGGTGAGGAAGATGCAGCACAGAAAAGGGGAGAACACGGCTGACCTGCCAACTGTGAGCCATGCAGCAGACATCCTACTCTCCAGGGCTGGCATGCAGCACTGGCCGCTTAGGCACTATACCCTGTATGTATAACACACAGTCTGCTCCCTGACTTGTGTTCATCATCTACTTTAATGTTCAGCTGCTGGAGCAGACAGGAACGGAGTTTATATGTCTCACCTCCACGGTCAAGGCACACTGCTGTCTTTCCTGGGTATCAACACCACCTCCTCTTCTCTTCTGGACACTAGCCTTTACCCCTCAACATCAAACTATGAATTGTTCCAGGAGTTTGATCACTAGGAGGAGGTTAGGTTCTTGTGGACAGAGGTATATCCATGGGCATTTCCAGGCTGATGGCGGGTGACCAGCATGCTGGTGAATTGGTAAACAAAGAACCACAGAGGCTACTTTGAAAGTTTCACTGACAGTCAATCATGATGTGCTGTTATTCTAGGCTTTGTACCAGCAATGCTATTGTCATTTGGGACCAGATAAGTCTTTGTTGTGGGACTGTACCCACACTGCACGTGGTTTAGATACATATCTAGCTTCTACTCTCTATGTGGCAATAGTACCCAAGCTGCGGTGATCAAACCCATCTCTAGGGCTTGCACTTGGCCTCCTGCTCACTGAGAACCGTATTATCAACTGGCAAAAGAGGAACACTTAAACTGGAGCCAACACTCTGGTCTATGTGAAGTAAGGCAGGTATCTATGGCTCTCACTTTGGACATAAGAAAACAAAGGCTTACAATGGTTTAGAGGTCATATCCTGCAAGTGGTCAAGAGGGGTGAACCCTGCAGTGTGATTTCAGGAGTCGAGCTCTCAACCACCAGCCAGTAAGTGCCTCTAGAGACCCACTGGGACAGTGCTCATGAAGCATTCCTCCTACCGTGGCAACCGGCCAACGCCTTATTATTCTACATAAACTACAGGGGTATTCTACACAGTCTACAGACAGCACCAAGGAATTTACTCTGCGAGACTGAATTTGGAGTTCTAATTTTGAACATGCTTCCCGAGGAGCCTCCACCAGGGGGCGCTGCTCGCCCTGCTCTGGGAGGAAAAGCTCCTCACCTCAGTGACGATGGCCTTGTGCTGCTTGATCCTCATCAGCTCTTCTTCACAGCTCATGGTGTACGATCGGGACAGAGGCAGCGGCTTCCCGTTTCGGCAGAGAACCGTTTGGCACTTGCCAACATTGGCGGAGGTCAAGGTAAAGGATCCTCCCAGGTCCACAGGGTCATGCTTGATGTGGCACAGGACAGCAGCACCACCAAGTTTCTGCCCAGCAGTTCCCAGTTTCCTGAACCCAAAGAGAAGGGCGAACACTCAATGCCTCAGCACACTACACTCATCCAAAAACAAAACAAAACAAACACCAGTGCACAGGGCTATCGATTGGGACTCCGCCCTTTCCACCAAAGCCACTCACTCGACTTCTCAGAAGAAAAAGGTCCCTGGACTCTAACACCTCACACATTCAGAGAGGTGCTCATATGTGGGGGGAGGTGTCTCCATTGGTTAAAAGCCACATTGCCAGTCCTGGCCTGCGGTGTCCAGCCAGCTGCCCTGTGTCAGTTAAATGGCCCAGCCGTACATTCCAAAACATCAAGAAAGTTCTGCTTCTCTCCCATCCACTTCTCCAAATCCTCTCTGTTCCCACATAAACACAGGTGCAAACAGGATGTCCATGCCAGCACTGGAGACTAAGCCTAACCACCATCCTTCTGATGCTCACTTCTCTGTTCTTGCCGTGTACAGCCAAGACTACTTATTCTATAAAAACGTACAGGAACAGCATTCTGGTATCAACCACAAAGTGTTTTTGCTTTATCCTTTCATTTGTCCATCAACTCATATATTGAATATTTGAAGCACCTACAAATACTGACCACCATAAAGAACAAGGGACTTCAGTGTCCCACCAATGTCATTTCTCCAAGCCTCCCTTAATGAGCCTTGAGAGTTAAAACAAAACAAAGTAGAAGCCTGCCTCTCTTGCCTAATGAAGACAGGAAAGACCCTGAATCACTAAGTCAATAACCAGGAATGGCCTAGCCACACCCATTTGACAACCAGGCACAAGGAATAGGCAGGTACTCTAAACTGAAGTGCTCACTGGTTCTATACCCTGTTAAGTAGTAGACCCTGCAAGTGGGCCTAGAATACAGATTCCTAAATTCTGGCTTCTAGATCATGACCAGATCTGACCGGTACAAACTTTTAAGAAAGCATTACTTTCAAATACGCTAAGACTCCTAAGAAGGGGCTTTTGTAACCAGAGTCTGCTAGAGGGTTATGTGTAGTGTGTGTGTACATGGTATGTGTTGTATATGTGCACATATGTATGCCTTGTGTGGCAAACTCTTTGAATGAAGGAGTCCTTCCAACATTTATCCCTAAGAGCCCGAAGCTCTGGTGCAGGAGTGACAGGTAGCAGCCCAGGAGTCTAAACATTTGCTTCCCCACTGAATAAGGGAGAAGAGGATAACATATAAAGAGTGTTCTAAAACTAGCCTTAAATTTGACCTGCTCAGTTTCAAACCAGTGAAAACATTTCCTATTGATCAACAAACTGGGAAAGCAATGCTTCATTCGGGGGGGGGGGGTCTAAGGAGCCTGTGGTTTGGGGGAGGCTGGGTATTATAAATGATGAAAATATGGAAGCAGTGGAGGCCAGTAAGGCCCCTTCTCTGAGAAATGAGTGACTTAAGAATGAACATCAGTGCATCTCAAGCTGAAGCATAGTCGATTCCGTGCTTGAATGCAGCTACAGCAGTCAAACAAAAGGGTACCAATATCACTGCACAGACTTTTCTAACAAGAACAAGGAAACAGACCCAGGGACATAAACTATAACCCAGCACACAGGAAGCAGGGTCAGCAGGGTCGGAAGAGCAGGGCCAGCCTGGCTACACAGTGAGACTATGTTTCAGAATAAACAAATAATAAATAAAACAAAAAGAACTACAAGAAACCCTTTACCTTTGCATGACTATAAACGTGTTGACCATGTATTCGTCATCGTTTTTCGTTCTCTGAAGCTCTTCAGCCAAAATGTCACTCATGGTGCACTGGAGAAGGTAGGGCACCTCCACATTCCGGTCTCCATCAAACACACCATAGAGGGCCTCCCGGTTGTCCCGGAAGTTATTCACAGACAGCGCTGCAACACATAGCCTGCGGAGTAAGAATACTTCTGTGATGAGCCCATTCATCTGTTCTTCCCTACTCCCAGCTCAATTCCCCCTCCCTTTTTGAACGGGATGCTCTGGTTTTTCTCTTCCTGCCTTCAGAAAGCTTGGGTTAACAGATCCCAGATGGTTTGTATCAACTGATTTCTGCTAGCCTTCTCTCACACGTCTCTTCTGATTTTAGTGTTTTTTAAATTACTCATTTTAAAATTTTACATGTATGTATGTGTACCATGTGTATGCCTGTTACTTGTGGAGTCCAGGGGAGTGCAATTAAACTGGAATTACAGGTGGTCATGAGCTGCTATGTGGGCCCTAGAATTAAAACCAGGTCATCTGCAACACTCTCAACTGTGGAATAATGTCTTTAGACCCTATCTTTTAATTTTTAAAAGATTCTCTTTTAATCATGGGGGGTGGGGTATGTGTGCACATGAGTGCATGAGTGTAGATGCCTGCAAGGTTAGAGGCATCAACCCCCCTTAAATTGCAATTGGAGGCAGCCTGGCTGTCCTGACATGGGTGCTGGAAGCCCGAGTGGGAACTTAGCCTGAATCATCTGCAAGAGGGATTAATGTACTCTTAACTGCTGAGCCATCTCTCCAGCTCCAATTACATTTTTAATGGCAATGAAAAATGGAGTATAAGAGGAATGAGGAAAAGGGTTAGAACATAACTTCCTACCTACAATGCATACAATAAATAGTTATTAAAGAGAAACTCATATCAAAAGAGAGTGACAAATAGAACATGAGGAGGGGAGAAAGGATGTGAAATGTTTGAAAACAGAAAAGATCAGCATTCAGCCAGTGGTGCTGGCCCTAGGTATTTCCTGGGAAAGCACTGGAGCTGCAGGGAGAAGACACAGTGTTGGCTGTGGAGGACAAGAAGGAAGGGGCTGTCTCCAAGATGAAACCAAGAAGCCAGGCACAACAGCACATACACATAATCCTAATACTTGAAAGGCTGAAGTAAGAGAGTCAAAAGTTCAAGGCCAGCCTGAGCTACATGGTTAAGATCCCACCAACAAACCCCTAAGGAGAAAGAGGATTTGGAAGGAGTGGTGGGATAATGTCAAACAGCATAATGTATGGGAATGAGGGTTTGAAAAGAAGACAGATATAAGAACGTTATAATTTACATCTACAATGTCCAACTTGATGAAAACTATAAACCTAAGGATGTAATAGGCTCAACAAACTACTAGTAAGAGAAACAGGGGAGAATAAAAAACCATAATTGAAACACAAAAAAAAAAACCTGCTAAAAACCAGGGTAGGGTGCAAAGCCAGAATTGCAGCAGACTGCAGACTGCAGAAGAGCATCTTGCAAGAACTAAGTAGAAAGCAGTCTAGATGCCCAAACCAGTGAAAAGCTGTCGTGGAATCACTTTTTGGACACTGTGAAGCTGTGTCACTTGGAATGCTTTAATTAAGAGCTGATTGGCCAACAGGTGGTAGGAGTTTGGGGGGGCAGAGCAAACACTGGAAAAAAGAAGGCCGGAGTCACCAGCCAGATGGAAAGGAAGCCACACAGGGAATACAGACTAAAGGTGACTGAGCCACGTAAAAGAAGGCAGATTAAAAGATATGGGTTAATTTAAGTTGTAAGAACTAGTTAGCAATAAGCCCAAGATTCTGTGTCATGATTTGGGAGCTAACAGGAGGGACAGTAAAATCCATCTATATATGGTGTACAGTGTCTGGCCACATAAATCTAAGAGCTGAAAGCTTAAAATAAGGTTCTAAACACAATAATGGAACCAAACACTAGACTCACGCCTCTCGTATGAGCCGCAGTACAGAGACACGTCTCCAGGCAGGTGCCAGTGTGCTTGAGCCGCCAGTGTAGCACGAGTTAAGCCACAAGGCGGGTTTCAGATTTTGCTCATGCAGACAGAAGAGGCTATAGCTACTCAGTAAAGCAGGTTCAGATGGAAAAAATAACCTCTAAATAGATTACAGTATGTTTAACCATGTGCATAGGCTTAAGAAAAATGGGTATAGTCATTGAAAAAAAGTTTAAAAATATAAGTAAAGTCCTCAAAGAAAAAAATAATAAAAACAAAAGCCACTTATGGAAGAAAAATATAAAGGGGGTCTGGATCCTATATGGTGTCTTGTAAACTTTGAATTTTTGAATGCAAATGTACAAAAATCAATAGCTGCTGAGAGACACTGGATTATGGAAACTGCTAAATTAAACCAACCTATATATTTTAATAATGTCTTAACTTCAAAATGGAAGTTGGACAATGTGTTGTGTTGGGGGAGAGGTTATGATTTTGGTTCCACAGTAAACAAAAGGCTCTGGATTCCTTCTAGGTTAATAGAGACCATATTTGACCAGGGGAGACCTCTTAAGGATCTTGGCTACAGACACGGGAGGGGAGCCAAAAGACTACAGGACAGGTGACATGTAAGCTGATCCCTTTGCATGTGAAAAGCTGAGATGAGACATGATAAATCTTGTTGGCTACAGAGTTCTCATGACTTAGTATTACATGCCATCCTTACATATGGATGGGTAGAGATTTATCTTACAGTTTAATATACAGTCAAATGGACTTACAAAGTTGACAGATGCCTTTCACCCGCTCAAACATAAAACAAAGAAAAATCAACTTTAACTGACTTGTACACACCACATATTCTATACCTGTGTTAATGCAGATATGCATGTTACCTTTGAAAATTTATGTGTTTTCAGAACAAAGGGACCAGACACCAATGAAAACTGGTGATCCAGATGATCAAGCCTCTCTGAGTGTCTTGGTTGCAGAACTCTGAAGGCTGCTTAGCTGAGACGATCCAGCCTCACAGAATACTCCAGTCAGGACTTTCCCATTGCATAGACTGGACAACAAATATCACAGCTAACTTTCCCAGGAATTGACCATTATCCCAATTTCCCCAGGATCTCCTAAAGATGCCAGTGCCCCCAGACAACAGGAAGCAGTCTAGAGAACACAATGCCCACATCCCCAAGGGTGTGGGTAGATGGTTTTTGGTCATTCAATAGGCTATACATGTTTGCCATCAATTGTGTGTGTGAGGGTTGGTTACAGATTGTTATTGGTCATGGTCAGGAAAAAGAGTTAAATTTAAGGATCTCTTTCTGAAGGAAAAAATGGGGGGGTTATAGTATAAAAATGATGGGATAAAAGGGTGGATTGTTGAGTCTACTTTTGAACAACCACTAGTCCCAAATATTTTATACTGCTATGGATTTTGGTATACTGATATAAATTTAAAGTTATTTTTGTTATACTGTATACTTACTCTATTCTTGTTTAAGGTATTATATCTATACAGCTCATTTAAAAGTGTCATATAAAGTTTTAGTCCTTAACATCTATTTAGGATAATAAAGAAATACAGGTTAATAGTTAGTCATCTATAACAATCAAACTTATAGTCATGTTAGGTATGTTTTCAAGGTTATACAGATATATTTTTGATAGATAGGTGACCTTCAAACCCTTCAATGTCCTGCAGAATATGGCATTTAAATGTTTTAATAACATAAGGCTTTTCATGTTTTCTTTTCCACATCTCTAGTCCTCTCTGCCACCCACGAACCTGGAGAAGCACTCTGCCACAGAACCCACAGACACAGCACTTCACTAAGATCCAGAGAGGGTAGCAGAAACCAAGGAATGGAACACCCGTCCAACAAATACAAGACCATACACATCAGCACCTAGAATCGCCTCAAACATCCTAACTCCAGATGCTGAGACCAGTGCAAAACACAAGAAGATCCAAAGCATATGCTTCCCCCAGAGCCCAGCAGCCCTGCTACAGTACGTCCTGAGAAATGAAGCATAACACAAGGACTTCAAAATAGCTATTATGAATATGTTCAAGGACCTTAAAGAGGGTGTGAAGAAATAGCCCGATGAAGACTGTGAACAACACAGTGAAATGAAATAAGGAAAACATTTCAAGACATAAAAGTAGAAATAGAATCACTAAAGAAAACACAAACTGAAATAAAACTAGAAACGAAAAATTTAAGGAAAGAAGTCAAAATATTTTTATTTGCACAGTTTTTTATACAAAAGACCTTTAAAACTCTACCAAGAAACCTCGACAGATGAGAAACACTTTCAACAATGTAGCAGGATAAAAAAAAAAAAAAACAGGAGAAGTCAGTACCCTTTCTATACACAAATAACAAACAGAATGAGAAGGAAATCAGGGAAATAGTACTTTTTACAATAGCCTCTGAGTGTGTGTGTACATGTGCGTGTAATTCTAACCAAGTAAGGGAAAGACTTATACAATAAAAACTAAGACTTTGAAGAAGATCTCAGAAGATGGAAAGATCTCCCAGGCTCATAGATGGGTAAGATTAACATTTTGAAAATGGCCATCCTTTCAAAAGCAGCCTACAGATTCAACACAATCCCCATCAAATTTTCAGCACAATTTGTCACAGAAATTTAAAAAAGAAAACAATTTTCAGCTACATATACAAACACAAAAATCCCAGGATAGCTAAAACACTCTTTAATAATAAAAGAGGAGATATCACCATTCAGATTTCAAGTTTCACTACACAACTATAACCAAAAAAAAAAAAAAAAAAAACCAGCATGGTACTGGCATAAAAACAGACACACTCACAGAAACAGATGACCTGAACAGCTCTTGGACCCCAGATTGATGGCTATGTGGAAAGCATGGGACTGACCCAGACCCCCTGAATGTGGGTGTCAGTGAGGAGACCTAGGAAATCTATGGGGCCTTGGGTAGTATTTATCCCTGGCATACAAATAGACTTTGAGTGCCCATGCCACAATATGGGAGGCTTTCTCAGCAGGGACTCTCTTGGGAGGGCCTAGGCCCTGCCCTGGATGAAATGATAGTCACTGGAGATCCACCATGGAGGTCCTCACCCTCCCTGCAGATTGGAGATTGGGTTGGGGACTGGGGGACCTGGTGGGGAGGGCGGGGGAAGAGGGGAGAGAGAGGGAGCTGGAATTGACATGTGAAACAAGACCTGCCTCCACCTTCTGAGTTTGAGGATTATGGGCCTTGATGGGTGGGGAGTGTTGTTGTTTTATCTGACTAGTTCTAACTACATCCAGAAAATAATAAGCTTATTATTGGATCACTTTCTATTCATTCACTATCCTCAACAATGCTGTTATACCCTTCCCAAAGAGATTATGACTGCTCCAGTTTGTAGGATTCTTTGCTTTCCTGATCATCAGTGCCTCCTCATACAATGTAAATAAGTGTGAAAAGGTTGACGAACTCTCAGGAAAACTCACATGTGTAATGGAGAAAGGGGTGACTGGTGAAATAGCTGAGAAAAAAGAATTCCAGTGAGTGACTCCTGGTGGCAGGAGAAGCAGACAATATGACAGAGAATCAAGAACCAAGGCTGCCAAGCTAGTGTGGACAGCAGGCATAGTCCAGTCAGCAGTGTAAATGACCTGAGTATAGACAATTAGCTACTTCTCTCTTGGTAAACATGCTTCCCAGAAAGATAAAGCACATTTTAAGGAGCAGAGATATATTTGAATACTTAGGCCTTTTCCAAACACTGGAGTCTTACACAGATATAATGTGTCAGTTACATAGTATCCTAGCAACATCTCTCACAAAAGGAAACTCTGTGATGCCAAGCAGGTATTCAGCCTGGTGTTTAAACATTGAGGACTGCCTCACTCTGCAGAAACATGCACTAAGAAACTTCAGGAGAAAGGATGTGTGTTACCAGCTTTCCTTCTACCCAAGAATGGAACAGACAAAGGCACTTTAAGGGTCAAAGTTTCACTTAACGTACTTGTTTTTTACTCCTGATGCTTCGGTGTAACCATGACTCCACACTGCTGGTGCTCCAGATGCATCTCCCGCTGAAGGCTGGTCAATCTTGAAGCAGCGGATATTACTAAGGAGAGAAAAGGCAGCAGGAACCATTAGGAACAGAGGAGTGTGAACTGTCACCTTTACCTGAGAAATGAAAACTGCTAAGCACTCTCCTCTTACTGCCTCTGCTGCATCTACTATAAATGAAATATTTATCGGCACCAAGAACCTGCTCCCCAGGCGCTTTATGCTGACAGTGAGAACAAGGGCACCACTTGGCATGAGGAGCAGTTTTCACAGTGACTATAAAGCAGCAACTAGAGCCTGGCAGACTGTATGCTCCATGTCTGCTCCCCCCCCCCTCGTCTTGGCATGAGTAAAGTACTTGTGCAAGCTTGAGAACTTGACTTTGACCTCTAGCATCTGTGTAAACAGCTGTAAACCCAGCTCTGAGGAGGCAGAGACAGGATCCACCGTCAGCCAGCCTAGCCTAATGGGGAGTCCCAGACTCGTCTGTCTCAAGACATAAAGTGAATGGTTCTTGAGGAATAAGGGTGACCTCTGGATTCCATGTGAATCTGCACACACATGAACACGAACACATACATACTTAAATAAAACTAAAATTAAAAGGAAACAAAACTTGTATCAAGTTAAGTTTTAATTTTTACACCATCAACACCCACATTTGAAAAGAACAAATACCACAGTTAGGTGATGGTCAGAGAATTCTACAGTATTTATCCCCAAATCCAATTTCTGTCCATATCATCCACTCAAATAGTCAACAAACATCACCAAAGACTTGCCACTCTCTAGATCTTCCAGTTTCTTCCTTAGGCGTATAGACCATCTACATTAAGACTAATACCATATAATAGATATGTAAAATCACATGAATAAGTTGCCAGTTCTCTATGTTCTAAGATGTGAGATTTAGTTCTCTCTTGGCTATTAAGGGCTCATTAGGACTGGAACTGTGGTTTGACATAAAAAGGAGTAAGTGTCCTGTTTCTAAAACAGCCTACTATGTAGCACCTAGTGTCTCTGGGCAGAAGTCCCAACCATGGAAAGGAGCCCTAAGAATGAGTGCATGCTATGTACATATTACCACCAGGATCTCTTCACATTATGTAAACAAAAGAGACAGAAAACATATGCATCATTTCTTAACAACCCAAAGCTTAACTCTTTTTGTCAAGACCCCAAGAATTTTAAATATTAAAATTCTCTTCCTAAGAACCAGTTGAAATTTAACTAGCGTTCACTTTGGTTGTAGAAATACATGACTATAATTTCTCTGAAATTAATGTTTGGTTAAAGAAAAAATTGTAAGAACTGGAGAGGTAGCTCCGTGGGTAAAGGGACGAGGTCCTGAGTTTGAATCCCAGCACTCATATAAAGAGACAGGCATGGTTGTGAGCACCTGTAACCCCTGAGCTGGGTTGGGGAGGGGATAGAGACAGGAGGATAGCTGTGGCTGGCGACAGGTTCAATGATAGTCTGTGCCTCAGAGAGTGGCAGAGGTCATCTGAGTGCATGTTCTAGTGTGCACCCATCAGAGTGATAGAGCAGGTCATCTCAGTGCATGCTCAGGTGTGCAGGTCCCCCCCCCCATCAGAGTGGCAGAGCAAGTCACCTGAGTGCATGTTCAGGTGCGCACTGTGCATGCTCAGATGTAGGCTGTTAAGTCCTCTTTTCTACCTTTTCAATCTTATCAATAAAAGAGAGACAATTGTGAAATATTCCTTTACAGTGTGTGAATATATGTCACTGTGATTGGTTTAATAAAGAAGCTGATTGGCCAATAGCTGAACAGGATAAGGTTAGGGGGAGAGCCAAACAGAGAATGCTGGGAGGAAGAAGGGCAGTCAGGAATCTCAAGCAGACACAGAGAGAAGCAAGATTGATGGGATGTACTGAGAAAAATGTACCAAGCCACGTGGCAAAGCATAGGTAAGAAATATGGGTTAATTTAAATGTAAGAGTTAGCTAGTAATAAGCCTGAGCTATTGGCCAAGAATTAATAATTAATACTAAGCCTCTGTGTGGCTACTTGGGAGTGGTTTAACAGGACATAAACTTCTACCAACAGGCAATAAAAAGTGAACAGATGCTAGCACTAAATTGTCTTCCTATAAAATGCTGTCATGTTGCTGTCCCATCTGTCACACACCTGTGCTACCTTCCTGATTCTAAGTAAGGACAGCTGATGGTCCAGCTCCAAAGGCACTGGTAATCTTTATAGGCCAAAGAATTTTCACAGAAGTGATTCCATTTTCTAATCATTACAGGAAAAACACTGCCACCGCCTTGTTCAACAATCCTTTGTAATGAATCACTCACCACTCTAGTTTAACTAGGTAACTCAACAGCCTCCTGAAAAGATGGCAGCATGGACTCTCCAGCATCTTGCCATCTAGAATGGAGTTGAGCCCAAGATCTCAGGCCACACAAGAGTTCCCATATGTCTTCACTCTAGCTCCTGCAGAACAAGTCCGTCAACCCCTAACCACAGTAATGTGTGGAAACACTCCAGTTATTAAGAAGACACAGTCTCTGTGATACTAACCAGAAGGTAACATTTTCAGTATTATGATTCACCCTTACTAATTATTTTTTAACTCTGAGAGCACAACGCCTTCACCAAAGGAGGTCAGTCACTCCAATAACATATGCTCACTGCAGAGACTTTAACAAACTTTATTTATGCAAATATAACTGTAGGATCATTATCTATCACCCATCTATCTTTCTGCATCTACCTATCAACATACCATCTATCTATCTATCTATCTATCTATCTATCTATCTATCTATCTATCATGCTTCTATCACTTATGTTCATAGTATTTTTCAAATTATGTCATGATCTATTTTATATTCATTCCAAATATAAGTGGAAATGCCCTGATAATTGTTTTATTTGAACTGAGGATCTATGAACAGTTGATGACTTCTGGGGCAATAACATCAGTTTTTTCTGAGGGTGTGGTAGGCTGATCACATTCTAGTAGATGACCCCACACCTTGGAGTGTACGAGTGAATGGGTCATTTAAATCCCACAAACTTTCAGGGATTTGGGAGATAGGAGTGTGTCTGGGAGGAACCAGGAGAGAGGTTGGAAATAAAGAAGAAAAAGGAGAGAAAATAAAGAAAACCAAGTTCTAGTATTCAGACCCTTGACATGTGTAAGTGTTCTAAAGACTTACAGAATGGGTGAGCCACTTTTAAAGAAAGCTGTACTAAGCAAGGTCAGGGGCTCACACACACATGGCCAATCTGACATGTTTGAATATTTGGTTTTCCTTGACATGCTAATAAGCTTGAACTTCTTTTTGTGTATGTGTGTACTTCTTTTTTTTAATGTTAATTAATGCCCTTGGCTCACTTTCTATTTGAATGAGAACTTTTAAAAAGAGGATTTATTTTACTTTTAATTCTGTGCACGTACATATGCAGTATGTGCAGGTATCTGCTTAGGCAGTAAGAGGTCACTGGATCCCCTGGAGCTTGAGTCCTCTGCAAGAACAACATATGCTTTTGACCACTAAGCTATCTCTTCAGCCCGAAGTGGAAGTGTTTATTACTGGCTTATTGGAGTAATTTCTGCTAACACTATCAATGCTTTAAATTACTTTTTCCATGATTTCTTCCCAATTGTTATGTCTTTTAGATTTAATTTTAGAAGTTGTAGGAACTGATAAAAACACATCTAACACATGTATGAGACTTTCTCAACCCTTTCTGACATAAAAAATAATTTATAGTTTACAAATACATTAAAATCATTATATTCTACATATTTAACTCTTTAATCTAGGAGTTTACTTAGTGCAGTTTTTCTCTAAATAGCTAGTCCATGTAAGGAGAACTCTTTTTTTTATTTAATTTAATTTTTTTATTTAAATTAGAAACAAGCTTGTTTCACATGTCAATCCCAGCTCCCTGTCTCTCCCCAGGGGAACTCTTGATACAATATTTTTATATCTCCTGGAAACAGGATCTCTCATTCTGTAGCTCAGGCAGTCCTGTAAATCACTATGTAGCCTCTGCTGGCCTCGAACTCATGGCAATCGTCTGCTTCAGTCTCCTAAGTATTGGATTATAGGTGTGAGCCATCATGCCTAGCATTGATCAAATTATTTAAAATAAAGCTTTCATATTATAAATACTTATGAAGATGGAAATATATGTTGATATTTCATGGTACTTTTATCTCTCAAGTATCTTAGGGATAATGCCAGCCGTTCCTGTCAGCTTACAGGATATGAGGAGACTGAAGTCTAAAGACTGAGGAAAAGACAGGTCCTCATCCATGTCTTCCCTGAGATTCTTTGTTTAGGTGGTATTCTTCAGTTATACACACATTAGTTTTTCTATTAAGTATTTAAAAGGCTAGCAAGTGAGCATTACTTAGACCAGATGGGTTCTGACCAGGAAGCTAACACTGGTCTTTAAGCTTCAATTTGTGCTGCCCCAAAAGATTACTCACAGTCCATTCCCCAAATTCTTGTCTTTTCAGTTTTCTCCTAACATATGGCAGATGACTTCCAACAAAAACATCCATCAGTGTATAAGGATATATGGTAGAAATAATGACTCACTGGGCCACTGTTCAAGAATGCTATTTATACAAGCAAGGGCTGAGAAACACAAAGGAGAAAGCAGAGACCACTCACATATTCCCACTCCTTAAAGGAGAATACTCTTAAGATATGCTACCTAACACAAAGGAGAAAGCAGAGACCACTCACATATTCCCACTCCTTAAAGGAGAATACTCTTAAGATATGCTACCTATCCTTTGGAGTGCATTTCAGGTTTGTGCAGGTACTCACAAGCACAATGCACACATAGTTAATTTGCAAAACATGGGGTGGTATGTGTACAGATTTTTGGTAAGTTTTCTTTTTGTCTAATCTTCATATGATTACTACTACAGCTTGATATCAAGATGCTATTGGCTGTAAAGTACTTGTGAAGTACAAATTAATTATATTAACTACATTTAGAGTTCTGTGATGAATATTCCCAAAGTGGAATCTTTTTTACTGATGCTACCTTAAACTTATACTGGTTATACTTTATCAACAACCACAATTAACTCTCCCAAAAAAGAAGAAAACTTCAGCAGGATCTAACTGAAACTATTCTGTATTTCTTTTTTTTTAAAGGATCCAGATTTTAGCTTGTAACAATTTCCTTCACATCACCTACCGAATGACATTTGCACCAGACATCACAGTCATGTTACCAGGAACCACTGGAATTTATGTTCCCATCTTGGACAATTCCCTCCTTCGGCATTCTGTCCAGCTGTGTTTATGGTACTAAGTCAAAAGGTTCTTCCTGTTTCCACAGCTAGTGAACACTTGGGGGAAGTGAGCACAGTGCTTTGTAGATACTTACTTCAGCAGCTCCAGGCTTCTATGATCCAGGGCAAGGCGAGGGTTTCCAGTCAAGTCCAGCTCTTGCAATTTCGGTGGCAGGTTTTCTGGTAACGAGATTTCGCTTAGCTCATTACAGCTCAGATCTACACACTGATGGAACAATGGAAACAAGAAAGATGATCTGAAGAGGCTGTAGATGAGCACTGGTCAACACAAAACTGCCACACCCTTTTAAGGACTTGGCTACATAAATTCTTCTCACTCTCTTTGACTCCACCATTAACATTTTCCCTTTAAAGTCTAGGTATGCATTTACGATAAAGAATTAATTGAAAAAAATCTTAAGGATTGGCCTTTTTTCCATGACTTATATCTGTGCCTGCTTTGGTCTTGAGGGTATCATTCTGACATTAACATGAATCCCAAGGACCTTTCTCAATGCAAAGCAAAAGAACAGAAAGATACAGAACTTAAAATAAATTAAATAACCCAATTTGAAAATGGGATATAGAACTAAACTGTCTGAGAAAGACTTAAAGAAATGTTTGACATTCTTAGCCCTCAGAGAAATGCAAACAAAAACAAATTTGAGATCTTATACCTTGTCAGAATGGCCAAGCCAAAATGAATGACAGCTCATGGGGAAGGAGACCATTTACTCACTGCTGGGAATGAAAGCTTGCACTGACTTTGTAAATCTGTGTGGCAGCTCCTCAGGAAGCTGGGAACAGATCTACCTCAAGATGAGCTATACCATTCTTGCACATATACCCAAAGGCTTGTACATCCCATTACAGAGACACTAGCTCATCCATATTCATTGCTGCTCTGTTCATAATAGCCAGAAATTGGAAATAGCCTAAATGTCTATCAACTGATAGATGCTAATGAAAATGTGGTATATTTACACAATGGAAAATTACTCAGCTAAGAATAAGGGAATTATGGATTTTTAGGCAAATGGAGCTAGAAAAAGTCATCCTGATGGAAGTAACCCAGATTAAAAAAGACAAATGTTGTATGTTCTCTCTTACATGTGGATGTTAGCTTTTACACTTTAGATGTGTGTGTTTCAATCCAAGTAACTGCACAGGTTAGGTACCTAGTAAGGGACCAGTGGATAGGAGGGAATCCTCCAAGGAAGGGAAAATAAGAGTCCAGTGTTATAGAAGGGTAAAAGGGAAACTAGAATAGGAGAGTTAAATGAGGGAGAGGAATGGAAAGAAGGGTAAAGGAAGGAATACGGGAAGGGACAACCAACATCAAGGCCTATTTGAAAAACCAAAGTATTGTACAAGCTTTCTAAAATATATACAAATATGAAAGGTATCTAAACAGAGTCACCACACAGGGAGACATCGCTGGAACCAAACATCTTATGCCACCAAGTGAAATCTCCAGTGACAGAATTGACTACATCTTTTTTAGTCTGTTGGCCAAAGGTGCCCCATGGAACTCCCAAATATCACAGGCGATTGATCACTTTCCACAACTTGATAGTATATCCCTATTGCCAAAGAAAACACTATGCCATGAAACACAGAGAATCTAAAAGCTTCACTATTGACTAGTTTCATGGTACTGGAGAGCACTCTGCATGCTACTGGAGGAGAAAGGTAGACATCATTACTCAGCTACAAACTCTGAGATCAACAACAGCAACCTGATGCATATATCCTGGTGAAATAGTGGACAAATGGAGTAGCTAATCAATCACTTTATAGCTTGTTTTAAGGCCCACTCCATGAGATGGGTCCACACATGACAGTGCTAAAGTTGTCAAGACCTGAAGTAGCAACCAGGCTAGGGGGAAACCTACGACTATTATTTCACTAAAATAACACAGCAATAAGATGACCCCTGATGACATAGTCTGAATGCTGCAACCCATAGAGTAGCATATAGCAGTATATGTATATACTGGTATACCCATAGAGTAGCATCTCATTATATACATATATATATGTGTGTGTGTGTGTGTATTCATATGCATATACTGTCATACCCATAGAGCAGCATCTCATTATATATGTGTATGTATTCATATGCATATACTGTCATACTCATAGAGCAGCACCTCACTCGACCTATCAGAGAAGCTTCTTGCTGCAGATGGGAATTAACCCTAGAGACTCACAACTAGACAATGGGTGAAGAGCAAGAGACTCTGGAATACTCAGTCCTAAAAGGGATGGATGTCTTCATCAAACCTCAGGGCTCAGGGAGCTATGCAAACAGTAGGTGGAAAATCTTTAAGAGTCAGAGTAGATAGATGACTCCAAGGAAACTGTCTTTCAGATCCAACATGACTGACACACAGATGAAGTCACAGTGAATGTAGCATTAGGCACAAGACTTGTACAGGTTGAAACCAGATGGGATCCCATTACTGAGAGGGGGAAGAAGACATCAAGGTCCCACTGCCAGCCAAGAAGCTGTTTGCAAGTGATAACTTCTCTCAAAGGGAAAAAAAATCAGTTTTCTGAAATGGAGTGTCCCTGGGTACATTAACCACACTCCAGGGCAGGCCAAGTGCCCAAAGGTAGGTAGCTGGTCTACAGAAAAAAAAACTCAATGGTAGTTTTGCTTTGTTTTGGCACTTTTTGTCTCACTGGTTTTTGCTTGTTTTGATTTTTGTTTTTGTGGGATTTTCATTCTTTCCTTTTTGTTTGGTGTCTTTTTGTTTCTTAGTTTTTATTTTTATGTTTGAAAGAGAAAGTGAGAAAGAACAAAGCTAGCTAGGTAGGGAGGTGGATAGGACCTGGGAGGAACTGGGGGAGGACGATCAAGATATATTATAGGAAAAATGTAATAAAAAAATTCATCCACTGAACTTGCACTGGACATGTAGGAAATGATTTATACTGTAAGAACACAGCAGACAAGGTCAATCCTGGAAGACTGCACGGTGATCTAAGGAGTGATAACAGCTGGTCCCTGTGAGGCAGAACTGGTCAGGCCAGGAACCAGTTGGGCAGATAACCCCTCTCTGACATCCTGTACCTCCTGACCTACATGTGAATACAAACACCTTGAATTCTGAAATCAGCAAAGAAATTCTTTGTCAGTTTGAATTAGAACCAAGGTCTGGATCAGTGGTTACCAACTCCTGGGGGCATCAGAATACCTTTTCACAGGGATTGTCTAAGACCATCAGAAATATCAGGTACTTATAATCCATAACAGTAGCAAAATTGGGGTCACCACAAGAGGAACTGTATTAAAGGGTTGAGGACCAGCAGAATTAGGAAGGTCGAGAACCACTGGTCTAGATTATAAAGATTTTTACTGGGGGAAAAAAAACCTGGAGAAAAACAATGCCTTAGAGGAGAAAGTTAAGTGACCAGAAGTAAGCTATCATCTGACTGAACCATTCACCTACATTTTACTGTAAGCACAGAAGCCAAAGTATAGAACTGCTTTTCTATATAAAGTTGTACTTGGATATAATTAGTCAAATGTAATTAATATTTAAACTCAATCTGTAGATAGCCTTCCTTTTAAATTGACATGTGCTAACTTCATTGATTTTTTTTTTTCAGATAGATTTTGGATTCAGTTACTGATGGCATGGTACATAGTTAACTTCTAAAAGTATATATGCTCCCAAACATTTACTTCCTCCAAATATGGGATTTCCTGAAATATGAAATTGCAAAATTTGAATTAAATAAAATGCATCCTGTATTAACAGACCAATTTGCTTGTGTTGATAATTGTTAACAAAGGCTGTAGGTCTGTTACGATTTTATAGGGAGTCTGGCACATGCTTCTGCAGGTTTTACTACAAAGAAGAATCCATATTTTCACAATGAAGAAAAGCCAAATGGCATAAAAAACAGTAAAACACAAAATGAGCATGACATTTTGACTGAAAAGACTTGAAAGGACACAAGCCGTCTTCCATATTTCTCAGAGTAGGAGTGCACTGCCTGCCCTTCCCCCACAGGCAAAGAGAGAATGAAGGAGATCTCCTCATAGCTGCTTCTGATGACCCCTGAGAGTATATCTTTGCAGAAGAGCATCTGTAAGCAGGTACTGAATATGTACACAGAGCTAGCACTGGCCCCTTTCTTACCTACTCTGTACCATGAGGCATGGTCTTACAGGGAAGAAGGGAACAGTCTTGAAACATAGCCAGCCAGAGTGCCCCAATTTATAAAAGTGAGAATGTGCAGCCCAAGCCCCTGACTGGGTCTGTTCCCAAAGAGGCCAGGACAAAGTGGCTTTAATGGCTATATCTCCTATTTGTTGCTTCTTCCCCTGAGCCCTTTGATGGTGCTCTGCCCCAAAGGAGAACTGACATCAGATCACCTGACTTTCAGAACAACATTTCCTAAATGACCGTTGCTGAATCTGATTCCAGGACTCAGGTGCTGGTTCCTGGCCCCTGCTGTCATACGTGCATTACAGAAGCTGACTGACTATGCCCACCTGCATCCTGACCTAGTGGCTTTCCATGGCCTTATTTTCTGAAGAACTGATCCTTTTGTCTTATCCACTTAACGCAGCCTTCTCCCCACATTTTGAAGATCTTTACAATGAAGCGCACATTCTTTCACTGCACAGCAGTGCCAAGAACACCAGGCAGGCTTGCTGTGTACAGCCGAGCCAGACTGACTCAGGTCGCATTCCTCCCTTGCTGATCAAGAGCTGATCTATCTTTGGAGGGAAGTCTATCTATTTTCAGCTTCTTATAGCCACTGATTAAAAATAATTTATAGTCCATAGCTTGGGGATGAGCTTACAGCATGTCCAGAGAGTACACAACACACACGAGGACAACTTCTGAAGAGAATAGGAAACTATATTGAAGAGTCAAGAAGACACGAAACACGAGACCTGACACAGGACTGGCTGATGTGCTGAAATTGCACATCCTTGTACTGACCAAGTTCCATTGCCGAAAACCCAGTTCACTTGCTCAAAATAAATTTCTACAAAGACTACAGAAAATTACTACATTACTACCGTAGCTTCCAGGCAGGTCAGTGGCCCCACAGGGAAGAGCCAAGTACCAGCTCCACAGCCACTTTGGTTTCTGGGATGTGTCAGTCACCAATGGCCTACGCACGGACCCAGGCCAAGGTCCAGATGGCCAAAGCTGACTTACATTGTGATGTGAGTCATGTTTCTCTCACCAGCTGGTTGAAAACTCATTGGCTACATAGGAAGTTAAAGGCCAGCTTGGCTTCTTCCCCATGATGCACTGTACTGAACTGTCAGCTAAAACCAATCTTGTCCCCCTTGAGTTTCTTTTGTTTGGGTTATTTTTACCACAGCAGCTAAAATTAACTAAGGTATAAGTAATGAAAATCAGGACTGTGCACAATTTATCTATTTGTGTTATAAGCAGGATACTTAAAAAGATCAAGCACACAAACAAACCAAAAAACCACAGCAAAAGAGGGAACACCCACACCTAAGAGCTGCGTTCTACAGAAACCAAGAGAAACAGTGTGAAGTCTCTGTGCTGGCATGTCACCCTGAATGGAGTACAAGAAAGCCACCACAGCACAGCCCCAGTGTTTGAGGAGCCAACTCTGATGACTTGGAGCCTGGAGTTCAAGGTCACATACTGACCTTGACTTCTGGGAGCTGCATAACTTCGGGGAAGACTTCGATGCAGTTGGAGTGAGCAATCACTGTGTGCATGCGTCTGCAATTCATTATCGTTGTTGGGATGGCTTTCAGTTTATTCCCACTGATATCAATTTCTTCAAGTTCCTCCAGTTTTGCCATTTTACTAAAAGAAATGGATGGGAGAATCATCAATTAACCATAAGACAACTTAAATGGGCAGACACAATGAGAAAAAGAACTTATGACTTTAAAGATTCACTTATAACAATCATTTTTATAGCCTTTTCCTCTGTTGCTTTTGAGTAGCAAAATGTTTTATCACTTCTCTTCCTCTTGTAGAACAAAAACTTAAGTTCAACTCTTAAGCTGATAACAAGAAGGAAAATGAAGGTTCTTCTCCTGTTAAAAATTTTTTTGCTACATTGCTTAGTCTGAATTCCAGTGTATATCGCACTTAAACTTAAGAGAGCAAACATTAATCACCATACCTGCTTTGAGCTTAGGTTGAGAGTATGACCTCTTTGTGTTGGAGACGAATACTTGAGAGGAAGCAGAGAACACTACAAAGCTACTATTAGGTATTCTTCTGTACTCAGACCCAGCACCCAAACCTGTCTGGCACCACTGGCAATTACAAAGTGCTGGAGCAGGGTAGATCGAAAGCTATACAATTTGTTTCTTCTGAAGAACCTTAATTTACAATGGCTGCAAAACACGCTACTTTCCAGTCTTCATCATCTGTGTAGACGCATCGTCTCAACCTTACTTTAGCAACATGTTTAATGTAATTTAGCATTTTATTTAAAAATATTTATTTTTCAACACCTGTAACTTTAATAATTAAAGTAAGCAACAAGGGGACAATTTAAGAAGCAGAGTCTCATGGTTCTTCCACCAGCCTGGAGGACAGAGCAAGTTCTTTACCATGACAGCATCCATTCCTTAGATCCTCTCCCACCCTGTTGATAAGTGACCAAGGACTGTGAGAATCCTTATGAGTTTGAAGTTCCTGGTATTTTTTCCACTCATGATTCTACTAGTTAGAAAAATTAATCAAGAAACACTATTGCTGCATCAACTCTCAAATGTTAGAGATTATCTCTTTCTTGTCTTGATATAAACATATGCCTCATATAACAATAACTAAGTTTTATCAAATCATTTATTTTGACAACATACAACATATCCACCAGGCTATATGGTTATACTAAAATAACAATATAGAGTATGAAGTAGTTAATTTATGATAGCTGGAACTCATATTATTTTAATATGTTGTCCCTTACATTTGAAAAGAAATATCAAGAATGGGTTACGAGACATGAAAAGTGATGAAAGATGTGGAAATTTGGCTCAAGGAAGGAAAAGTTCTCACATCTCAACATGGCAAGAAGGTGGCTCAGCAATGGCTTGATTGCTGGAATATGTTCACAACCATCTGGTTAGAAGTCTACTCTAATCAGAAAAGCAAGGCAGTCAAGCTTCCAGAGGGCTCTTACCTCTACCAAGGCTAGGGTAATCTTATGCTCAAGGTGGCTGGAGACTAATTCCCAGAATACAGCATGAGATCTAGAGCTCCTGTCTTATAAAACCCTCTCATGGTGGGATTAAAGGTGTGAGCTCTGTTTCTCTTTTAGACTGATTCACTCTCATGTAGTAGCCTTTGGTGGCTTTGAACTCACAGGGATCCATCTGTGTCTGTCTCCCGAGTCCTAGGATTAAGGGTGTGTGCCACCACTGCCTGGCCTCTGTGGCTGTGGCTAGCTTTGTATTCTGACCTCCAGGCAAGCTTTAATAGATCATAAACAATACATCACCACAGGTTGGTGGTCACTAGTTTGCACAGGGTAAGCATGTGTAGCCTCTTGGGGAAGTTAGATTTGGACAGAGATAGGGACAAAATCAATCAACTGTCTATGCCAAGAAACCAGATAGGGACCCAGCAGGGACAAAGACCCAAGAGGGCAAGGGGTTCAGCCCTGCTGGGACTTCAGAAAGACAGTGATGAGGAAAGGGTGGAGACATGACCAGGGCAGGACCAGCCTTCTAGCCAATAAGTTAGTTTTACTTAAAAAAAAAAAAAAAAAAAAGAGGCTATGTGCTTTGTTTCCCACTGTTTAGCCCTAATCTCATACCCAGTGGCCTTATTTTGAAGGTAGTCACTATAATGAGATATCATGCCTATTAAAAAAAAAGAAGTCTACTCTAAAGGAGACAGAAGTTTCTACAGGAAACGCTAAATATCACAACCCCATGGGAGGGAAATCATAGCAAAGATTAATTTTTACCAAGTACATAAAAATCTTTTTGTATATTTCATGTTGGTGATTGATCCCTGGCATGGGTAAATGGGAGCATAATCTCAGAATCAATGATCGCTTTACATACAGAATTTACATAAATACCATCAAAAATCAGACAAGAGAAGCCCCTTTAGCACATTACTATGTAGTGACTGTGCCCCCTCCCAAAGTATTATCTTTGCATTCTCCTGTAAAGAATGGATGCACAGAAATAACCATCAACATCAAATGAGGGGAAATAGGAAAGAAACCTACATTACCAAAACCAAAGCTATGCCTGAAGTCAACACATACATGGATCCCCTCCTTCTGAAAGAGCTTCGGCAGACTGGGAAGTTGCTCTGGGCAGCAGAAGGGATATTGTTTTGATCTGTACTGTACAGATCTGCACTGACCAGCAGAACACCAGAAGGTTGGTGTTTACTTCTTTGATGTGTAGGTGTGTGTTCCAAGTCCTAACTTGTAAGAAAATGTCAGTGAAATGGGAATAGAGTAAATCCTCTTGGCACGCTCAGTATATGGGGCTCTGCAAAGTCAGACAGTATGTCACTGCTCCCCCAAACAGAGTTTTAAAATACTGGACCTTCTTAGAGCCATTCTTTACAATGTCAAGTTGTTTCTATGTCTGTAGAGTCACTGCTATGTTTCTGTCTTTTTGTTTTTCTTTCTTCTTGTTCTTCTCCTTTTTTGTGGTGCTAAAGGTAGAGCCCTGGGCATTCTGCAGTACGATACTGTCTTGGTTTTACGTTTTTTGTGTGTGCATGTGGTGTATATGCACGTGGTGGTGAGTGGACATCACGTTGGATGTTTTCCTCTCCCCTCCCCACTGTAGCTTTTCAGACAGTCATTTGGCTAGTGCTCTACTACGAAGAAAACAAAAAGAAGTGAGGACGTCTCGCTTGAATATGGAGGGTACCAACTGGCTAGACATTTGAGCCCGTGAGTGGGATCTGCCTGCCCGTCTTCCAGAGCTGGGGTTACAGCACATGTTAGCATACATGTTTTTCTGTGAGCATTGGGGGCTGAAACTGGGGTTCTCGTGCTTGTGCTGCAAGCTCTTTACCCAGTGAGCCATCCCCTCAAACCAAGTGTGACTAAAAATGGCTTCCTGGTTTACATGCCAACTTTTTCCCCCAGAAAAATGAACAAATAACTTAATTGTAGGCTGTATTCACTAAGTGTTCAAAAGACTCGTAATAAATTAAAAGCTGCAAATGCACTGTTTAATTAAACCTTATATAAAAATGAATAGGTATAGTTCAAGATATTCTGAAACTTGTTATTACTAAATTGCTACAACAGGGGAGTTTGCATTAAGTACTAAATATGAACCAGATCCTATAACATACATTTTACAAATTTTACTGTTTATGTGTATGTGTGTGTGTGTGCACACACATGTAGGTACTTGGATAGGACAGAGGTACAGATGGTTGGTCTGGACTTAGGGCACTGGGAATGAAAAGTGGGTCTTTTGAAAGAAGCAAGCAATCCTAACTACTGAGTCACCCATCTCACTCTCTCCTCCCTCTGTGTGTTTGTCTGTGTGTGTGTGTGTGTGTGTGTGTGTGTGTGTAAGATTTTTAGTTACAAACGCCTGTTTAAAAAGTTAAAAAAAAATCAATTAAGGAAAAGCTTTCCTCTATCACTCTATAGAAATGTATTCTTAGAAGTACTGATTACATTGTCCAACAGGATAATATTACATGTTAAGATTTGATTACCAACTTTAAAAAAAGGAATTTATTAATTTATATTTATTTTATGTGTATGAGCATTTTGCCTGCATTCTATGTATGCACCACATGCATGGTGTCTATAGAGGTCAGAAGAGGGTACTGGATCCTCTGGGACTGGAGTTATGGATGGTTATGACCCATCATGTGGGTGCTGGAAACCCAAATCCAGGTCCCCTGCAAGAGCAAAAGGTGTCCTCTTTCCAGTCCCTCCACAGTCCAACTCTTACAACAGTACTGCTTTTTGTTCTTTTTTTTTTTCAAATTAAACTGAATAGCTAAAGAGAAGCAAAAGAAAAAAAAGTCTACTAAAAGCTATCTTACTTGAAAATCTTAAGAATATTCTAGTGGTTTGGGTTTTGGAAGTATTCACAGTAGGAAAACCAGCACAGCTGTTCTAAGGGAATGCTTGTTGACTTCAGCTTGCAGGAAAGGTAACTGCGGATGAGGGAGGAAGAGCAAACACACTCACATTACCTTGAACTACAGCTCCCTCTGTGACATCCCCCTTCTGTGAACACATACGTAAGAACATCACTTTACAACCCTGTTACCTTGCTGGGAAGCTCTGAAGCCGGTTATAGGCCATGTGCAGGATCTTCAGACGCGGGTGCCCAGTTAACAAAGGCACACACTTATCGGTGAGGCTGTTGTTTGTCAGGTACAACTCCTGTAAGATACTGCTTGTCTCCTCAGAAAGTGTGGCTGGAGGCAGAGTTTCCAGTTTGTTTGCAGATGCATTCAGGAACCTCAGGCTACAGAGACAAAATGCAGCAAAGTCCACTGATTAGCCAGAGCTCTAGTTCAGATCCCTCAGAAAACCCAGAAGCTACATGAACAGGCAAAGGTGGGAGGGCTGGTTTTAGAAACAGGAACAAAAAGATAGGTCCTGGCATCAGGGAATTTAATTCAGCAGGCACATGGAGAGAATCTTTGTGGCAAACAGGCTCCAAATCATCCAAAAAGAAAGGAAGGACAAGGTGGGAACAAAATGTGCCATAGCTCTGTTCTCACAAGTAGCCTGGAAACACATCAGGCTATGCAGATGCAATAACCAGGCATGGACTGCTCAGTGCCCAGGGTCACCCACCAAAGTTTGTGGACAACTCCACCTGCCCACCATGAGGACCTGCCATAAGAAAATGCACCATTCTCATGGTGCAAAAACATCTTGGTTTAACAACTGACCAACATGCAGAGAAGGGCTCAGCCCTAAATAAGACATTCAAATCACACTCCTTCCTCCAGACTCAGGGATTATAAAGAGAGGGGATGAAAGACTGTAGGAGATGGGGGTGGTGGATGTCTACAAGGAAACCATGTTTTCCAGACACAATAGGGCAGGCAAACATTTGAACTCACAGCAGTTGTGACAGCACCCATAAGGCCTACAAGCTCAAGCCAGGGAAAATAAAAATCCCGGCATGAAGGGGACAGGTAGGCATAAAGTCCCACTCCTAGGTGAGGAACTACTGGCACTTGATAGCTATTTAGACAGTGACAGTCACTTTTCTTTAACATTGTGGTTTTTGGTTAGCTAACCATGCTCCAGGGCATGCTCCCTACCCCAAAAGTGTCTGGGAAACACAAATTGGAATCCTTAGGTTAAAAGGAGGGAGAATATCAGAACAAGAACGCAAAGTTGGATGGGCTGGGAGGTGACAGTTGATCTAGGAGAAGGTGGGATGAATATGATCAAAACATATTACATCAAATGCTCAAAGAATTAATAAAATATTACTTAAAATTCAACTTGGCTTAGACATTCAATACGTGTTCTGGGATGTTCTAGCATATGTCGAGAAAAAATAATTTTTAAAGGGAGAATATGGAATGTTGGATACAGTTATTTTTTTATCTTAGATTTTTTTAAAGGCTTTATATTAGGAGCCCTCCCTAGTACTGTCACTCGAAGCTTTCATACTAATTTAACACTCCAGTTCTGCACACATACCCCACACGAAGACACACACTCAACTCCACTACTTATCTGAGGAAAAGCGACTTCCCCAAAATAGAATATTTCCCATTAAAGAAACATGTATTCTGTTGACATTAAAGAATGGGGTGGGGGGAATAGATGAGGGTTGAAATAGGCTGTAGAGACCATAAATAGTCATGGGAAATTATAGCTAGGTGCCATGGAGTAGAAAACAAGGTGTCTTTCATGCAGTTTTTGACCTGGTCTTAAGTAGGAAGAAAACCAGTTTTACCACCAGAATCCTTTCTTTTTTAGGTCCCATTTCTACAGCCTGACTTAAAATATACCAGTTAAGACCTTCCTCTGTGTAAAATTAGAATAAATTAAAATGTAAGAATTGCAATTTTATTGCCCTTAAAATATCATGGAGTAGGGTCAACTGGGAAACCACCTAACAACTATTAAAATACAAGTCTCTAGGAAATGTGCAGTTAAAGACACATAAAAGACTGAAGGGAGGATGAATTCATGACTATTTGCATAGTTTTAGGCCAGAAGAGGAGAAAATGTTTTTAAAACACTGACACATCAATGCTCATTTAGAAGTCTCAAATGGGATTTTAAAGGCTCTCAGCATTTGAACAAGAGGAAGAAAATTATTTCCAAGGGCTTCTCATTAGCTTGAGATTGCCAGGTTTTATGGAACTCTCCACTCTATAGAAAAGTTAGGCTGGGGAAACATCGTACCAAGAAATGAAGCTGTCACCTGGAATTAAGGGGGTTAGCTCCAGAGGATGGTTTTGAACCATATGAAGCCCAACCATGGTATTGTCAAACGTTGATTTACTCAATTTTTATTTTATCATGATCTCAGGAAAATTACATGCAACAGCTGTCCTCTTAAAATAGTCTTTCTTCAATTTGAGTATTTTAGCAGAAGCCAAATTGAATTAATGGTTTAGGTGTCATCCTTCTTCTACAAGGAACAACTACTTTCAATGTACAAAATCAAAATCCTCCAGTATAGAGAGCAGTTGATTTAATGACAAGCTGCCTGGCCCACTCCCAGTCTTCAGCCTGAAGGATGAGCTATGTGCCTCAAGTCACTACGATGTGGTAACTATTCTTAAGCTTCCAACGTCACAATTTCTGTAATATCAGCATAAAAAGATTTAAGAAGGCAAAGAAAGTTTAATGTGCTAAGAGACTGTTTCAACCATGTAGTCTCCTCATGACATAGTCATCTAATTAAAAAGGCATACAATGCTACCAGTGTTTTCATTTATCAGGGGCTTTATAGGAAGCACAGTATACTCCTATTTTCCACCTCCCAACCCATCTCATTATCCTAGATATCCCTCATATTTCACAGAAGATAGAAACCAAAGCTGAAAAAGTCAAATCACTTGACAATGGTCAAACAGTGAAGAGTAGCACTGACAAAAATCTCATCAGTTTCAATAGCCCATTATTCCTAACATAGCTCTCCAGAATTCAGATGTTAAAAACAGTAATAAAAACCTTTTGCAAAGAATATGGTCCCCTTTCTCTAAAACTGTTGGGGCCTAGCAGGACCTGCTGAAGAGCCCGTGTGCACGCACTTCAAACTCAATTCTCATAATCAATAGCTCTTAACAAAAGTAAAGGGCACAGATGTGGTTCCTGCCCAAGAGCACTTGGGAAGCCTCAGCCGCAGAAGAAAGTCACTTCCTGCTCCTAGAGATAACTGCTCTATTCCTCTGCCTTGGCACACTGTCCGTCTGGTTCTGGGTTGTCTCGTTTCGTTTGATTTTTAGAAGCTCTCATGTACCCTAAGATTCTACAGACATCCTGTCTCTAGAGGAGCTCTAGGTTTGGTAGCAGACTTACCTCGGTCATGGTATATTAGCACAGCAATAGAAAGTCATTAAGACAAGAATGTTAAACCGCATTCCTTGTTCATCATCACAAGAATGAGGTTGCCTAGAATGCTACTACATACGGGTTGCTCCAGGGTCATCAGTAGAGTAAGACTGTGTAGAACAGTACTCCATACAGATTATACAATAGCTTATCATCACTAGGGCAAGCTGTGTAGAACAGCACTCCGTATGGATTGTTCCATAGCTTATTATCTCTTGGGTAAGCTGTATAGAATGGTTTTCCTCTATGGTTTATCATCACGAGACTAAGGTTGTGTACTTTTGGCAGAGAACAGAAGTTATACCATTCTCAGTGTACCATATTATAAGGAACACAAGACAATGTCTTAACTATTGTCAAAATTAACTCAGATTACTTGGCAGTACCAATTACAACCACTAAACTTCCATTTTGCCCCCTTTGTAGCCAGTAAATTTGTGGGGAGATGAGTTAAGAATGTCAATATCCCATTTATCATCATACTTTTAAATTTTGTTTGCTTATCCATTCTTAAAAACAGTTACTTTGTGCTTACACATTGTTACTAAATTATTCCCCACTCCTACCCTGGCGCACGCGTGTGTGTGTGTGTGTGTGTGTGTGTGTGTGTGTGTGTGTGTGTGTAAGCATGGAGGCATATGAAAGCAAGAGGTCAGTGCTACACTGGAGTCTTCCTCAATCACTCTTCACCTGAGCTTTTGAGACAGGGTCTCTCACTGAACTAAGGGCTCACTAATCCAGCTAAACTATGTCTCACAGCCTATAGGAATCTTCCTGTCTGCATCCCAGCAGTTGGGCTACAGGCATGAGCCACAGATCCTGGCTTTCTACCTGTGGGTGGCCTGCAGATCTTCATGCTTGTATGGCAAACTTAACTTAAAACAATTGAGCCATTTTCCCAGGCTGCCCCCTCGGATTTCTATATGACCATTTGTTGTCTGATACATCAGTTTTCTACTCTAAGATCTTCAGTTTGCTGCCAGAAAATATTCTTTGGATATTACAATTCTAAAAGTCAGTTCTGTGCAATGGTTTGTTTCATTGTTCAAGAACTTGAATGCATGCCGTTCCTTTCCTTTTGTTTTCTCTTCCATTTCCACCAATTTACCACTAACTTCTAAGTTCTTTACTGCATTTTTACTTTTCTCATCTAAGTTTCTGTTTACTCCTAAAAAGAACTTGGCCTGATATAAAAAGCTTAGGTTACACTTTGATCAACTTTTAAAAATGTTGCTACAATATTACTTTGTATTAGTATTTTTGGGGAGTCTGATGACTGTCTATATATGTGCCCTTTATAATCCCTTGATCTTTTTAATACAGCCCTGGAAAGTTTTATTTTTCAGAATCTAAATTTAACTATTAGGTCTCAGAGCTGATCGTTGAGGTTATTCCAGGTATGTAATTTCCTTTCAAATATACTTCAAGATCTTTTTATATGTGTTATTAAAATGTATTGAACTTTTAAATATTTGTAAATTCACTCTGTGCCACCACTTTCTCTGTTCTTCAAGCTCTTCATATGCAAATCATGCCCCTCTGGGGCCCATTTCCCACTTCCTCTATTTATTGCTAACACTTATTTCTTCATTTCCCTCACTTCCCTGACTTTCTTTAATGTGTCTTTTTGAATTTTTATTTGAAAGTAATACCCTTTATCCACCTGAGAATATGCTGCTCATTTATAAGGTGATTGCTATTCTTTTCCGTTTTATGTGTTCAATGAACTCTCTTCCCATTTGTCCATGTTTGTTCTTAACTTCACATCTTTTTTCTTTTTTATATCCACTAATGCTCACCAGTATATTTAACTCTGCTTGGAAAGTTGCCTTACATTTTTGTCTTCACAATAAATTAGGGGAGGACGCATTTTCTCTTTGTTCTGTGTTGACTTTCATGGCATCTGGAGATTTAGAATGGTCTTTTAAATTA